CAATGGTCAGCCTCAGTGGTCAGCGTGCCCTGTAATCGCTGGGACGCGCAGTGCGATGGGACGTGCAATGCGCGTCTACCAGGTGCACGCCTAAGTAGGTTGGCACATCTGATGCCGTGCCCCTTCTCCTCGTCTCCAGCGTCGCCGTCCAAGCGTCGATAGCGGAAGTCGCTGCGCAGGTCCAATTGTCCTGTTAAAGTCGTAGCGTGGTCTATGATTTCCCGCAGGCCTGCTTGCAACTTCCTGGATCGTTCGTCGCACCTGTATATCGGTCAATTCTTGAAGCCGTTGTAGAGGTACTACGTACGCAATCAACTGAATTAAGGCGCAACCCGAAGTACCTCGAAGGCAGATGAACACGTCAGCGCAATGTTCGTCGTCCTTTTCTTGAGCTTCACTACTTGTGAGCTCTGGATGCTGTATGGGACGGGGCTGTTTGACGTATTCGTCCTGGTCGAAAACGACGCTGCCACCTTCAAGCTTGGCATGCCTCGCGGCGCAATGTGTGTATGTGTTTTTTGAGTTTGCACGCGCCGAAGTAGTTCCCAACACATGTGGCGTACTTGTCGGTCATATCCCCAATGTCGGCCATGCTCATGTCATGGACGTGCTTAGCCGTGCGAAAGTTCTGAATGGTTTCGAACTTCTCATCTTATGATGTGGGTCGCAATGCAAATCATCGAGCAGCCGTGCGAAGCTTCAACGGGAATGACAGTGTGGCGTGTTTGGTGCCAGGACGCGAACCCTGGCAATGACGTCGAGGCGGTAGTTGAACCTAGTGCTCAAGTAAAGCATATCATCCACTTTTTCTGGCCAGTTGCCTCGGCCAGCTCGCAGTATGTGAGCCCCTTCTAGAATCATTTGTCGATGTCCATGGATGCGATGACAGAATATGTTCTTGTACGCGGCCGTGCGAGCGAGTAACTTCTGGCTCGATCAGCTGACTGCACCTGAAAACATCCACACCAAAAGTCGCGAGGTCCATGAATATCCGTAACTCAAGGCAGCATTGAATGGTGCGTTCCATTTACCTTTGATTGTTCTTGGCGGATTTTCATGTGTACACATATCTCGAAATCATGTTGTTTGACGCGTTTTTGATCTCTTGTACTATGGTGCATTTGTTGTCAAACCAGGTCTTGTGTTCTGTGTGCAAGCAAAGCCCTCGGTATCCTAATCGGGTTCGCTTGATTCTCAACTTTCGTAAGGAAGTCGTTCTCCTTCGGTGGCGGGAGGGACCGGAAACCATGACGGATGATCTCCCAATACTCGTACAATTCAAATCGTCCCAGTCTTATACGCAATCTGAAAGCATGCCACCTCCATACGGCACGTACGTGTAATACTTGAACAATTCGACACTCCTGCCCGTACCATCTGACGGCATATCAAACGAGAGCCCGACTTTGAGAAAGAATCGCCACCCAACGTGTCAAGTGGTGTAGCGACAACAACGCGCAACGCTGAACAAATATCCGCTCTCGACAACCAGCAGCGCTCTTCCCATGTAACAGGTTCGGTGTGTTACATGATTGTGCGCGGCGATGAGGTGAAAACTGCGCCTTGAAACACATTCGCCCTCCATCTTTGACAATGCTGGAACTTGTAACGACAGTGTGCGCAACGCGGAGGCAAGCACCACATGTTTAACCATCCGGCCGTGTAGCTGCTGTATTCTCATTGAGGATCATGAGCGATGAAGCACTCTCATGCGACAACCCTGGCTCGATTACCCACGCGTCTTGTGATGTGGCGAGGAACGATTTGCCAGAAGGATAAAAATAGAGAGAGAGAGAGAGAGAGAGAGAGAGAGAGAGAGAGAGAGAGAGAGAACGAGAGAGAGAGAGACGCCACCCTCATTATCAACACCACGGCAAGCGACGCCGTTTAGTACATGTACCCAAGGAAGGACTCGATGAGGGCACGGCTGTTTGGTAACCGCCCAGGGCCGCCTAGTGAAAGCCAATTATCAGGATCGGGATGGTTTTTCCTCCTTTGGGAAATGTGGAGGCGGAGGAAGCGACGGCAGAGGAGAAGGAGGCCATCCTCCCTCCTACTCTCTATTTCCCCTGAACTCCCTGGAGGTCTTCCGAGGCTTCTGAAGGTCTCCAGAGTCTTCAGAAGAGATCCCCGAAGGCTCCTGGAGGTCCCTGGAAGCCTCTGGAGGCCTCCAGCGGCCCCGGAAGCCTCTTGAGGTCCCCGGAATCCTCAATGAACCCTGACATTCGCCGAAATGTATGTCTGTCCCATCCGCGGTCTCGAAGGTCCCACTCACTTTTCCGGGGGTAGTTTTTGCCCCAGATCCATGTCTGATTGCCCATAGCCCCAGAAGCGGCTCCGCGGGGCCGACATCAAGGAAATCATGCGTGTTGCAAACATCATGTCGTCGGAGATCTGGGATTAAGGAAGCGTCGGGGGGTGCCCATCTCCTCCTGGCCCCTCAGCGCGGCGCCTTCATAAACATCCTCGCGATCTCCCCAGGGTCGTCCCGCTTGGAGGCGTCCCAGTCCTGAGCGGACTCGAGCGGAGCCGTGGGGGGGGGAGCAGGACGAGGAGGGAAGGATGATGACCAGGAGGGAGGGAGGCAGGAGGAGGAGGAGGAGGAGGAGGAAGAGGAGGAGGAGGAGAATGATGACCAGGATGATGACCAGGAGGAAAAAGATGGAGGGAGGATGTGCACTAGGAAAAGGGATGCTTGAGGGATGTGAGAGGAAAGAGCAGGAGGGGGGGGATGGAGCACGAGGAAGGGAGCAGGAGGGAGGAGGAGGCGGAGCCGAAAGGAGTGGTGGGCGCCGACTGGAGAGCGCCCGCGGGAAACGAACGCCCTCAGGCTAGAAGAAAGAGAGTCGGTGAGCGATGCACTCCCCAGAGGAAGGGGTATGGGTAGACGGTGGGGGGAAAGGGAAAGGTAAAAAGAACGCTGGGATGAGAAAATAACGAGGGAACAGGGGAGAGAGAGAAGGTCCGACATCTCCCGTTGCGGGGCCATCTGTCTGCGCGGCACAGGCGTGTGAACAGTCTGGCAAACAGCCATCCATATACCTTTCCTGTTGCAGTATAGACGCCCACATGCCTTCACACGTATGTACATATGTATATATATATACACAATACTGAGAATAATGAATAACAACACGCATGCGCATATCCACCACCGTGCCGCTGGGCACGGAGTGGCAATGTCATCACCTCTTTTGCCCAATCCCTTAAGCAATCCTCACTCCTGGGGAGTCTTTAAAGGGCAGGGCCCACATTCACGCATCTCCTGGGCCTTCCCGCGTCTTCTCGGAACTTGTGGCGTAAAGTTGACGGACCCAAGATGGCTTCAACACGGGCCAAGAGGGCCCCAAGAGGCCCCCAAGACGGCCCAAGCGGGCCCCAGACGCCCGAACTTGGCACCAAGACGGTCCCAAGACGGCCCAAGAGGCCTCCGAGACGCCCTAATAAAGCCCCAAGAGTCTTCCCGAAGAGGGCCCCAAGAAGGTGAAATCATATCTCATTCAACGAGTTTGGTGTCCACGGCTTTTCAAACTACCGAGGCTCCAAGACGAACCGAAATTCAGAGTCTTCCGCACCAAGAGGCCCCCGAGGAGACGCCCCCACGAGGCCCTAAGAGACCCCCAGGCGGCCCCGAAGACGCCCCAACAGGCCCCAAAACTACCCCCAAGAGGCATCACCATGGCTCCCACCAAGACGCACCCGAGAGGCCTCCCGCGACATCCGAACGAGCATCCCAGAGGCCTATGACCCACAACCCAGGCACGGAGGCAGGATGGGTCGACGGCCATTCGATAGATATGGATGTATGTTTCGCTATACATGCACGTATGTATGAATCTACAGATGTATGTATATACATAATGTGTTCTCTACCATCCTGTGGTGCTGGGTCCTCGCTTTGAAGAGACGGCGCCCCGTGTCTCACGTACTCCTTCCTCCTCCCCTTCCTCCCCTCCTCCCATCCCTACCCCTGCCCTCCGCATGTCTGTGCTCCGGCACACCCACCGCAACGCTACGGGCCCCCGTATGGAGCTCCACCGAAAGCCCCAGCGGCACGGTCCACGTGGCGGCGCCATCCCAGTGTGGCGCACCCCTCACACGGTTCATCGCCCCATAAAGGGGCTCCACCTTTGTGGGCCCCGGAAACGGCAGGGCCGTGTTTTCATCGTTTCCGAACAAATGTCCCTTGAACATGTAATGCCAACAAAAACTGCGACCGGAAACGGCAACAAAAACGGCTCCAGGATTGGACCCATGCAGAGCCGGAGCCGGTCAAAAAACGGCGACGGAATCGGTAAACAAACGGCGTCGGAACTGGCAAAAAACTGGCACAACGGAACCGGTAACAAAAACGGCCCTGTCGTTTCCAGGGCCCACTAAGCGCTCCACCGAAGGCCTCAGCAGCAAGGTCCACCTGGCGGCGCGGCCCCATCCTGGCTCACCCCTCGCGCGTCTCGTGGCCCCGTGGGGAATTCCACCGAAGTCCCCGAACGGCAAGGTCCCCAGGGCGGCGTCGCCCCTTTTTTGCGGCGCACCCCTCGCGCGGTTCGTGGCTTCATCGGAGCTCCACCGGCAGGGATGCAGGAGGAGGCGCGATGCGCGCGCGAGTGCGCCCAGCAACGTCTGCATCCTGACTGCTGGCCCTCCAGGGGGACAGCGACATCTGTCGATCAATCTCCCTCCTTGGCTCCGCACCTAGATGCTTGCGCCGCCGCAGATCACCCAAAGTAAGCATGGAGACAGACGCCTGCATCCAATCATCCTCTTCTTCATTCCCCCCCTCGTTCTCCTCCTCATTCCCTCCTCCTGCTTGTCCTGCTGCTGCACCTTCCACCCCCCGACTGCGCCAACATCCGATTCAGAGGTTTAGCAAGGCACATCCTTCCACGTCTTTGAGAACTTGTGATCGTGGAGGGCCCCGTCGAGGTCCAGCGCGGTCACGCTATCCTTGCGAGCCGCTGTTTGCGAGATCGCTCAACTTGTCCAAAGACAACTAGACCCGCGTATGAACTGCACACTGTGGCCAAGAGCGTTCACCAGACCATGGGAGCAGATGCCAGTCGACATCTGCAAGTGCGTCTCGATAGGAGGATACTCCATCCCTCGCCACTGCGCGAGCGAGGATTTCTGACGGGGCTGTGGCGCTGCGCAGACACTGGCGACAACAACGTACACATCACGAGTACGAATACAATGCATGACAAAACCTACGCTGGCAATCATAACCATAGCAGCAACACGTACGTCGCCGCTTTAACATTCGATTGCAGCAACAACGACGACGCCAACGGCTATTCGGACAAATCGCTGACGTCAAGGGCACTGCTATTCAACGGTCATCCTGGCTGAGAGTGTACGCATATCGGCATTTATAATATTCGCATGGGTGCGTGTGTGTATGTCTGTGCGTTTGTCTCCTTCTGCACCTGACGTGCCCGCAAGCGGCCCGCGTGCCCCGCAAGACATCACGCGAATGAACCCTCTGAAGCCGAACGCATCGAAGACTATTATGACAACTTTAGATCAACATTATGCCGGGTCTACGTCGGGATCACGCCGGATTTACGTTGGACCAACGCCGGGACATCGCCGCGCGCAAGTCGTCCCATATCTTTCAGGGCGGGCGGGCGGACTTGACAATACAGCTATTGCACGTCGCGCGAGGCCTCCAATATTCTCCTTTCATGGCATATCCCGGTGCAACCCCTTGGGCTACTTTTCCGCGAGGTGTCAAAGAGAAGGGGCGAAGAGTAAGACAAAGGGAAGAGGCGTGTGGGCGAGGAGGGACACCGTAGGATGCAACACAGACCCCAAACCTATACAATACGAAAAACCGTCTCCGAACGAAGGGGGCCAACGTCTCGCACAAGCACGGGCGTGCATCCCAACGAGCTAGCCCCCGAAGGCGAGTGCGGACAGAAGGAGACCTGGATCGGGCATGGACGAGAGTGGCTCAGCGCAAACCTGGTTCGATCAATACTTGGCCAGCGTGGACCCCAAACAGCGTGCTTCTAGCAATCAAGGCTGTGCAATCTATGTTGGACCATGTATGTGGTGCAATTGCTATTACCACAAAAAACATGACACACTCCACGCTGCTGCAAACATCCCACCCACCCACCCACCCACAACCTGGTCTGCAAAACCCATGCGGCAGCCACTGCGATGAGTGCTTGGCGTTGGCTGGTGTTCCGCGGCCGCGCTAGCTCGCGCACGCCCGCGCGCACAACGGCCAGCTAGTTTTGGCGCGAGCGGCACGGCCGCGGTGGCGCTGACCGCTGGGCACATCCCCGCGGGCATCCAAATGCGAGTCTTTAACTGAAGGGGGGGTGGCGCGGTATCATGGCGACGCCGACAACGGCAGACACGATTCTGAAAGTAGCGATGATGGTGGCGACGGTGGCGATGACAATGGCAAGGCCAATGACGGCGCCGATCATGATCACGCCCGCCGATAACGATGACTATGTTTCGCGTCTGCGATGAAGGTTTTAGGAATTCGACATGCGCGCGCGGCCAGCTCGTGAGGGGGCCCCCCGTGGAATTATTGGACACGGATCGTGCCCCCCCACGCACGCGCGCAAGGGCGTTCAACTGAGTTCGACTTGCGGCGCGGGAGGCCTGTTTGGCAAAATCGGATGAAGATTGGAAAAACCGATGGTTTTCGGAAGAATCCGCACGAGCGCGAACGCAGGTTTTTTTTGAAAACCGATGTTGCAACATCGTGTGCTTATATGCTTTCGGGGCATTCGATTTTGAAATCTTTACGGGCCCCGCGTTTTTCTGTTCAGGGGTTTCGGCATGCGCGCGCGACGACGCGCGCGCGTGCACTTGGTCCTTTTCCCCCAAAACAAATGATTGCGACAGCGCGCGCACAAGGGCGTTCGAACGATGTCGACACGCGCGCGCGAGAGGCATCTTTAGAAACATGAGATCAACATGTTGAGAAATCGGGTGGTTCTCGTACAAATTCGCGCGGGCGCACACTTGTTTTGAAGCAAATGTTGCAACAACATGTGATGCTATATGTGTTCGTGACACTCGATTTCGAAATCTTCGTGACACTCGATTTCGAAATCCTTACGTCGCTGAGAGTTTGTTCGAATACTTTGGCGGGTGCGCGCGACGACGCGCGCGTGCGCACTTTGTCCAATTCTTTGATTGCAGATAAACGGTTCTTGATAAACGAGAGCGCGCGCATAATAAGCTGTTGCAAAGATTGCTGGGGGTGATCGATGCTGGCCTGGCGGGGATGGCGCAAGCTGAAATGTAGGATGGATGCGGGGCCAAAATCACATAGGAATTCAGATGCGACATCCATGGGGGATGCATCCAGGGGGGGGATGACAGTAGAAACTCATCTTTGTTAAGGATGGAAAATCTAGGTGGTGCAATTCACCCTGCCGGACTTGAGATTGCCAACTCCACTGCTCGCGCAAACATTCGACCGACCCACCCGCAACTTGGTTTGCAAAACCCATGCGGCGGCCACTGCGATGAGTGCTTGGCGTTGGCCGGTGCAAATTTGCGGCCGCGCTAACCCGCGCATGCGCGCGCGCGGCGAACAGCTAGTGCGGCGCAACCGACGCGGCCTCGGTGGCGCTGACCGCTGGGCAGTTCCAGCGGGCACTTCCATGCGAGTCGGTGACGTGGGGGCGCGGTATCATGGCGACGCCGACAACGGCAGACACGATTCTGAAAGAAGCGATGATGTTGAAAATTGTGGCCATGACGACGCCGAGGCCAATGACGGCGCCGATGTTGATCACTCCCGCCTATAACGATGACGATGTCTTCGCATCGGTGATGAAAGCTGTGGAAAGAGTTCGACATGTTGCGCGGCCAACGCGCGCGAGTGGCCCGCGTGGTATTATTTGACACGAACCGTGCCTCCCAGCGCGAGCGCAAGGACGTTCGGATGAGTTCGGCATGCGGCGCGAGAGGCCCGTTTGGCAGAATTTGATGGCAACGTTGAAAACCCCATGGTTTTCGGAAGAATTCGCAGTAGCGCGAGCAGGCATGTTTTAAAACGGATGATGCAAAACCAGGGCTTATATTTGTGTGTTCATTCGGAACGCTCGTCATTGAAATCATAACGCAACAATTTGTTGTTTAATGACTTCGGCACGCTCGCGCGACGACGCGCGCGCGTGCACTTCGTCCAGGTTGTTGCAAGGGTTTTTTGCGACAACACGCGCGCAAAGGCATTCGAACGATTTCGACACGCGCGCGCGAGGCCCGCTTCGTAACATTGTATGGGGATGCTGTCAATATATGTATATATATATATGTATGTGGTTTTGTTAAACATTCGCAACAACGCGGGCGCGGGCTATTTGAACCTTGCGAAATGACGTGTTTCTTTATACATGCGGGATGCTCGGGTCTTCACTAAACCTGAAGTGTTTGAAAGATTTCGGCGTGCGCGGCCGACGACGCGCGCGTTTCGTCCGATTTGCTACGGACGAATTCTTGTCAACTGATGGTTTGCTATAAACGAATACGCGCACATACTATTCTTTGCGATGGAAGATAAAAAATACCGATATCGGCCTGCCCAAAATGGTATGAATTCATATTTAAGATGGACGATGGGCAGAACCGAAAATACAATGCGATGCGAAAAAATGTACCGTCAACCCTGGAGGGGGGATATCCTAATATTCCTTTTAGAAAATATATGCGGTGCAATGTCATCCACCGTGCCGCTAGGCACGGAGTGAGCGTGTCCTCAGGTCCGTTGCCTCATCCCTCCAGCATCAGTCCTCACTCCTGAAGAGTCTTTACGGGGCCGAACCCAAATTGCCAAATCTCCCGAGGTTTGCCGTGGACTGTCGGGGCCTTCCCGCATCGTTCCGCGTGACTTTTCCGCGCCCGAGAGGACCCCAAGACGAGCCAAACGAGCCCCAAGACATTCCCAAGATCATCAAAACGAGCGTCGAAATGCTTAGAGATCGCTCCGCGACGGCCCTAAATCTGCCCAGTAGGCTTCCACGACTCCCTAAAGGCACCCAAGACTCTTCCGAAGAAGCTCCCGACTTGCCGACAGCATTGATGTTCCACTGGTGTTGGAAGGTGGTTGGCTGTCTCGCAATTTCACTTTCCCGACGCCCCAAAACTGCCCAAGAGGCCCCCAAATCGCCCTCAAACGGCCGAAGAGGGTTCCTAGTCGGCCCCAGAGGGCCCAGAAACAGCCCCAAGAAATGCCCAGGAGGGGAACACGATCCGAAAATCAGAGACTTCCGCCCCAAGAGGCCCCCAGGAGGCCCCAAGAGGCCCCCAAGCGGCCCCACGAGACCGCCCAAAAACAACAGAAATGCCTGGACATGTTCCAACACGGCCCCCAAGACGCCCTAAAATGGTCCCCGCGAGGCCCCATAGATGCTTCCGGCGACGCCCCACCGAACACCGTAGAGGCCTACGTCCCACAACTCTCAAACATGGTGGCGGGATAAGCCGAAAAGGCATTATATATATGCATATATGGTGCGACCTACGCTGGACAATCTATGTTGTGCAATCTGCGCTGTCCGATCTAGGCAGTGCCAATAATGTGGTGCAATTTACGAGGTGGCATTCGCCAATGGAGTTCGCAATTGCCAGCTGTATGTTCACGCGGACATACCACCCACCCACCCGCAACTTGGTTTGCAACATCCATGCGTCGGCGATTGCGATAAATGCTTGGTGTTGGCTGGTGCATATTTGCGACCGCGCTAACCCGCGCACACTTGCGCGCACAACTGCCCACGAATTTGGCGCGACCGACGCGGCTGCGGTGGCGCTGACCGCTGGGCACCTCCCAGCGGGCATTTTCAATGAACGTCGGTGAGTTGGGTGGGCGCGGTATCATGGCGATGTCGACAACGATACACTGTTACACTCGATGATGATGGCAACGATGATGGTGACGATGGTGGCGATGACGGCGGCAAGACCAATGACGGCGCCGACGCGGATCACGCCGATGACGATGACGATGTCTTCGCGGCGGTGATGAAGACGGCGTTCCGATGATTTCGACGTGCGGCGCGAGAGGCCCCTTTGGTCGAATTTGATGACGGTGTTGACAAGCATATGGTTTGGTTGGGAAATCGCAAGAACACGCGCGCATGACTTTTTTGATAAATGATATTGCAACACTACGTGTGTTATATATGACTTCGGCACACACACGATGTTGAAATTGTTATGAATCGAACGGTGTCTGAAGGATAACCCTTACGAAGCAAAACGATGTTTGGAGGATTTCGGCATGCGCGCGCGACGACGCGCGCGTGCGCACTTCGTCACATGTTTTGCAACGGATCCTTGAAACATACTGAGTTTTGAAAACGAGTGTGTGCGCATAGAACTTTTTGTTAGAGAATTTGGTGCGGCCGACCAATGGATGGTCTGGGATGGTACGAACTCATATTTCGGATGGACGATAGGGGCAAACACGTGTACATTTGAATACAAACAGGCGGATCGTTTAGTCTTGGGGGGTCGAACCGAACATTCTTCAATAGAGGAAAACCATGTGACGCAATCTTCGCAATGCAACTTTGCAAGGCCGCGACGAGGCGGCGAAGGGGCGGCGACGGCGACAACATATCCGCCAGACCGACACACATGCCCAGCTACGGGCGGAGACGAGGCGGCGACGGGGCGGCGGCGGCCATAACATAGCCGCCAGACCGGCAGACAGGCCCAACTCTGGGTACGGGCAACGACGAGGCCGCGACGACCACAATCTAGCCGCCAAACCGACGGACAGAACCAGTTCCCAAGAAAAGACATGAAAGCCCAAGTGCAACCACCGTTAGAGGAATAAAAGAAACTGCGCTGCAAGTCTGGGAGGATTCCCAAATCTGGCTCATACAAGAGGGAAGACCACCTCCGGTGCCGTGGGCGCCTCCCAGAACCAGCTCAGCCCACACCCGGCACCGCAAGGTCCTGCAAGACCTGAGACCTCGGCTGCGCTCCGCTTGCGCTGTACCCAAACCCCCCGACGTTATGATTCCTTCACAGCGTCGACCCCCAGAGATCTGGACCCACTGCCCGGGACCGGCTTTCCATCCCGCGTCGTTTTTGGACGGCCCCGAGGCCCCGCAGGGGCCCCCAGAGGCTGGAAATACCGACTAATCTCTCGCCGATTTTTTGTCCGCGACGCGAGAGGCCGAAGAGTTCCAGAGGCAGGCCATGCACAACTTGGGACCGCTTCCAATTCACATGTTTCCATGCCGAGTCCAGTATTGGACCGGGCCTGGTGCTCGATCGGGGATTGTGCTATGTGCGCGAGAGGGTCTGGGCAACCTGTTGCATGCAGGCTGACCAGAGGCTCCCTCCGACGGCCCGACTCCACCGACGACGGCCCCCGCCGCGGGCGCCTTGGTGACTGGCCTCGGCTGAGACGACTGCGCGCGCGCGCGGCTACGGGGTGTGGGGGCGGGGGGGGGGCGGGGGCGAGGAGCGCGGACTTGCGGTGAGTAGACGAGCGCGTTCCACGACTCGCAAAGCGGCTACCCGCAGATGGCCTGGATCCGCCGCGGGGGATCTAGGGTAAATGCCATCGACGCAGGCACGTGTTTTTCCAGACGTTCGCGGGTAGGCACTTTGCGAGTAGTGGAACGCGCTCGGTGAGTGAGGGACAGGGACGAGGAAGCAGCGAAGGGTGCTCCGTCCCCCGCCTCCCCCCTCCCTCCCTCCCTCTCCCCTCCCTACTCCATTCCCTCCTACCCTTCCCCCCTCCCGTTCTCACTCCCCGTCCCGCTCCCCCCCTCCCTCCACTTCCGCCGTGTGCCTCCTCAGCCTCTTCGTGTCCCGATTCCCCCCGCGAGAAGCGGGGGCTGCTCGCGCGCGAGAAGGGGAAGGCAGGGAGGAGAACAGGCCGGAAAAAACAAGAAGGGAGGAGGAGGAAGGGGGAAGGAATGACGGTCGCGAAACACCAGGCCGCGAGCTAAACAACGTGTTCCGCTGTCGTTGTGTTGTCGTTTTTTCTTGTTCTGTCGCCGTTCTGACTTGGCTGCAGAACAACATCCAAACGAAAACTGCTCACGAATCGCCACAACACAAATTGAGCGCGCGTCCTGCGAAGCACAGCAATGCCGTCCGTGCCGGGGTAGGCAGGCAACCTCCTCTTGCATCTACCTCGTTCGTCTTGCCTTAGGGGGTGGAGGGGGAGTCGAGGGAGGCTCAGGTGTTGCTCTCGACCGTCCTGGCCATCCCATGCGCATCGTCCTGGCCCTCAGCTTCGCGCGCTGCGGCGGTCCCGCTGCGGTCCCGACGCTACGGGTGTGTTTTTTGTGTTGTTTGTTTGTTTGTTTGTTTGGCTGTTTGTGCTTGTGCTCGTGTGCCTAGCAGCTTGCCTGCGAACGGAGGGACGGCTGGGGAGATGGGGAGAGGCAAGCCAGGTGCGCTCGCGCCACATCTGACATTCCACACCTCCCCTCGCCATCGCTCGGACGTCCCTTTTTTGTGTTCTTTTCGGTTTCGTGCGTGGTTTTTTCGCCAAATGATCAAGGATGCTCCTCGATGGTCCTCGCCGAAGAAAAAACGCACACGTCCGAGCGATGCCAAGTCCCACCCGTCCCTTCCCATTCCGGTGCTGTGTTCCATGTCCGCGGTCGGATGCCATGGCAAGCTTGGGCCCCAGTGTGTCGTGTGCAATCACAACAGGGGATATTTGCGTACACTGGAGGAGGTGGCGGACGAGCAGGACGAGGAGCAGGAGGATGAGGAATATGAGGAGGAATACCGACGTACACCCAAGACTCATCAACGAAATCGGAATCAAGCCTCCCTCCCAATTCCCCTGTTTTAGGTCCCTCGGAAAATCAGCAGATCCGGCTTGTGAGGATCAAATAGCCCAAACTACAGCCTGGAGCCTGATCTTCAACTCTGCTGGGGGGGTTAGCGGGGTGGCTCTACCGGGCAAAGGGGGGGACCCCTGCTGCGCCTGTGCTCCGCTTTGCTCTGTTTTCTTGGGGGGCCTCGGACACGTCAGAATGTATACTCTTGGATCTCTCGGGCCCTACACAATCGCTGAGATAGTGGGCCCAGACGCCCAAGATAGCCTTCTATCTGCCGCAAAAGCTCCCACGACGTCCTAAGAGGCCCGAAGAGCACCCCCAAGAGGGCGCCAAGAGGCAAACACCATTCAATTCCTTCTGGAACGCATGCATTTCTAGCATCTCCGACTTCTCGGCCTTCACGACGTCCAATACGCTCTAAAATGTTCCCACGACGGTTCCAGAGACCCCCGAACACCGCCCCAAGACGCCCCATTAGTCCCGAAACCGCCAATATGCGCCCAAGACGACCAAAGAAAGCTCCAAGACAGCGCCAAGAGAGGCCCCAGAGGGGAAGCCCGAACCAATGATCCATGGCTTCCGCGCCAAAGTACCCCCCCCCAGGTCCCAAGAGGCCCCCAAGAGCACCCAAACGACCCCCAGAAGGCCCCCAAGACGCCCCAAAACGGCGCCCGATAGGCTACGATAACCATCCCACGACATCCCCACGAACACCCCAGATGCTTCATTAGTACCCACAATCCAGGCAAGGTGGCGGACTGCGCCGAAAACTCTTAGATCCGCCGCCCCCTGTTGGCTTGCCTGGCGCGCTGAATCCTATCTCTCTTGGTTCTGGTTCTGTTTCCAAAAGGAGTCTCCCCTGGGGCTCTGCCCCATCCCGCTGGCCACCCTGGAGGCGCCCCATGTTCCAAAACATCTTCCCAAGATGGCTCAAGATGGGTTTCAAGATCGCCGAGATGGCCCAAGATGGCCTCCAAGATGCCTCCAAGATGGCCTCGAAGACGGTCCAAGAGGGTCCAATATACTTCCTAGTTCGCTCAAGAAGCCTCCAAGACGGCCCAAGAGTGCCCAAGAGGCCTTCAAGATGGCCCAAGAGGCCTCCGAGAGGTCTTCCAGGAGTGCCCGAAGAGGCTAACATCATTGATTATCATTCGGTGTTTGAAGGATTTTCGTATTTGCTCCTTTTCGGCCTTCCGACGGCCCAGGAGCCCCCCAAAATCGCACCCAGAGCGCCAAGGAGGCCCCCAAGATGGCCTGGGACGGCCCAAGGCCCCCAAGACGGCCCAAAGACGGCCCAAGAGGTCTCTAAGACGCCCCAGGAAGCCTCCAAGGCGGCCCTGGAGCACCCCAAGGGAGCCCTGGGCCAAGAGAGATCCCCCAAGACGGCTTCCGACGGCGTCAGAAGGACCAGGAGCCCGCCAAGATAGCCCAAGATGGCTCCAAGATGGCCCAAAACGGCCGAGGCCTCCAAGAGGGCCTCCAGCAAGGCCCAAAGAGGCAGAATGCAGCCCACGATGATCCAAAATAGCTTTGCTGACTTCTTGCCGATTCTTCGTCCAACATTCGCTTGAGGCTTCCAGATAGCTCTGATATTGCCACAGAGGGACCCAAGAGGTGCCCATGAACGACGGCCGCAAGAGTGCCGCAAGTGGGCATCAACAATAGATCTGCAAGGCTTCCGTGGGGGGCTGCCATCGGCCATGGGGGCTCGGCCTCGTGCGGCTCTTGGGGGCCTCTTGGGGATGTCCTGGGAGAACGCCTCCTGTGGCTTCTTGGGGTCTCTCGAAGGCGTCTTCAGAGCCTCTCGAGGGCCTCTCTTGGGGGCCCACCTTGAGGCCTCGGAGGCTCATCTCCGGAGAAAAAGCCCGACAAGGCGAAACGCATTGATTCGCCATTGGTTTTTCAAGGATGTCATTTGGAGTCCCAAAACGGTGCGGTGACAGACCGTGCGGTGACCTCGAAATCCCCAAAGACCTCACCGCACGGTCCGTCACCGCACGGCCTTGGGACCCCAGAGGCCCCTGTCGCCCGAGACGTCCTCGGAGAACGGCGCGGGTCCCAAAACCGTGCGGTGACCCCGAATCCCCACCGACTCACCGCACGGTGTGGTCACCACCCCGTTTGGGGGGCCCCCGATTTTAACTTCTCGGTCCAGGCCGTGTCGGAGCGCTTCTTGGCCGCTGCGGCGGGGTGGCCCCAGATCCCCTGCCACCCCGTAGTGGGGGCCTGGAGGTGGCCCTTGAATGCCTCCAGCCCTGGACCACCGTTGTGCGCTGAGGTAGGTGAGTACGTGAGTATGTATGCATGCATGCATGTAGTTATGCAGGTGTATGCAGATGTATGTGTATGTATATCTGTGTATACATATATGTATATGTATATATATATATGTATATATACATATATATATATGTATAAATGTATATATATATATATATATATATTTATACACATGTATAGTCACACGTGCTTCTATCAATGCTTAATGCTGTTTGTTCCTTCCGGGTTTCGAAGGGCCAGTGCCCACCCTGGGGAGTGGGCCGGTTGGGCTGAGACACCCTGGCCCGATGGGGGCCAAGGGATCGGTTGGACGATGCTGCCACATGGAACGCCAAAATACCCCTGAGACTCCCCCTTGCCCCTTGAACTACCAAAAGACACCCGTGTTGACCCAGGGAACGAGCAAGAATGACGGTCGACATCAACGACAGGCGGACCTCCAGCGGAGTGCACCGCGCAACTGGCCACTGGTAATGTGGCCCGCGAGAGCCAACACGGCTGGAATGAAACATGCAAGCGCCGCTGAAATGAACAACGAAACATGACGACAAATACGTGGACACCCTGTGCTTCCCGTCATTGGCGGGAGAAGCGAATTACCCAAGCCGGGCCGGGGTGGGGATATGAGAGTGAACGATAAGGGGGAACCATTGACTCGGAATCGGTGATGTTCTGGGGAACCGTAGGCACTGGAAGGCATCCCGAGGGTGGGCAGCCGCTGGCAACCGTCGGAAACGTCCGAACACTTCGAACCTCAAGCCTATCACCCCTTGAGGCTGCCCCTGAACTGTGACCAAAGGCGATGTATCCCCGATAAGTGGTACATCGCGCTTCACAGCCGGTGCAAACTTGAATCGGCGATCGCCGATGAACGCAAACCTTGAGCCGACGCAAATCTGCCGTGCCGTGGCCGACTGTGGCGAGGGCCTCTCTGAAAGCGGCGTGCAGCAAGGCGGGGGGGGGCGGGCGGGTCACCGTTGCAGCAGAGGATGCCAACGACGGCACGATCTCCGCGCGCATCTGCGCCTCGGGCGCCGACGAGGGGTCGGCGCCGTCGTCGTCGTCGTCAATGGGAAGACGAGGATAGCTAGGAGATTTTGGCTGCAAGGCGGAGGAAGACGAGGAAACATATAGGGAGACGAAGAGCTGGAGGTCTAGCCAACGACGGAGGTTGTGGTTTTGGAGAGTTCGGGCACCGAGGTGAGTGGGAGGAGGCGCAGAAAGGGGGATGAAAGATGACGCAAAGCTCCAATCGTATGGCCGCCTGTGCGACGGCGAAGACAGCAGCGCGCTAACAAGCAGGAGTGCGGGAAGGCAAAGGACGGGAACTTGACCTGCATCCCCGCAAAAAAACGTCTCTTGGGGGGGGGGCCTGTTGCTTCCTTTTTGTACTTGCTGCTCCCCTTGCCGCTGGAAATCACGTGGCGCGCCACATTCAAAAACAACTATATACCGAAACCATCGTTTCGGGGGCGTCGGCTGGCTTCGGACTCCGAAACCGTCCTTCAGCACAAGGGACGGCTCAGGCATATGAAGTACGGCGCCTCAAAGAGTCCCAAGTCTCTTGAACGCACCATGCGCGACCAGTAGCAGACGCCATGCCCGCGGCGAATTCTCCCCCTCCTCCTCTTCTTCTCCTTCACCCGCAAATCCCAGAAGGCCTCTGGGGCCCTCAGTAGAGGAGGGCGGACGGGGCGCCCTCAAAACAAGCACCCCATACAAGCGACTCCTCCAGTAAACACACCTGAAAGAACATATCGAACGGGGGAGGACTATCCCGGAAGCGCTGGGGACCGTTCAATAGACGTCACTTGTGGGTGTCGGGGTGGTTTTCCTCCCCGTCACTGGGGTCCCCAAACCGCGTGGTGGCAGACCGCGCGGTGACCTCGAAATCCCGGCAGGCCTCACCACACTGGTCGCCCGAGATGTCCTCGGAGAACGACATCAGTCCCAAAACCGCGCGGTGACGCCGCAACGCCGCATCCCCACTGGCTCGCGGAGTGGTCACCACACCGTTTGAGGTCCCCCCGAAGAGGCCCTCGTCGCCAGGAGGGCCCCCTTGGGGACCCCCGAGCTCAGCCCGAAGGCAAGACTGCAGTCCTCGGCGGCCCCGGAGAGCCGACGCTGCGACGGGCCTGCAGCATGGCGGGAAGCCACGAGCCCTCCTGGGGGGCACGCGCAGTCGATGCTTGCGGGCCGAGCCCGGGATACCATTAGGTGGAGGAGGAGGAGGAGGAGGAGGAGGAGGAGGAAGAAGGCCACATACGAACCCTACCCCTACCCCCCTCAGAAATCGTGGGGGGTAGGGGTCAGGTTCGCATGTGGCCCCCTCGCGGCGGCGTCCGGGGCGCGCCCGCTCGCGCGCGCGGGCGGGCGCGCGCCAGCGAGAGCTTCTCCATGGCGGGTCTCTTCTCGCCCGCGCGCGCCTCGGCCGTCGCGGGCGCCCAGAACCTCCTCTCCAGATTCCAGCCCCGAGGAGTCCAGGACGAGGAGGAGGAGGAGGAGGAAGAGGAGGAGGAGGGGTTCAGGAGGAGGAGGGGGAAGAGGACAGGGGTTCAGGAGGAGGAAGAGGACGAGGGGTTCAGGAGGAGGAGGAGGAAGAGGAGGAGGAAGAGGACGAGGGGTTCAGGAGGAGGAAGAGGAAGAGGAGGCACAGAGGTCCGATGGTCTCATGACTCGTGGATCGACGCTCTGCCCCCCTCTCCTTCCCCCCTCCCGCCCTGGAGGCCGCGAGGTCCAGAAGGGGGCCCCGCGTTTCTTCGAGAAGCGAGTTCCGAGGATCGAAGTTAAACGGTCAAGAATCAACGCCCTGCCCGCGTCTCCCACCCGGGAGGTCCAGCAGGGGGTCTGGGGGTGGGGGTCGAGATATTTGGCCGATCTCGGCCCTTCTGGAGCCTCTGAAGATCTCTGTGACGCCACGGAACGCTACAATACGTTCGGAAGGAGTCGGTGTGAGCAAGGAGCAGGAAGGCGGTTGCCACAAGTTCGATTCCGGGACGCCCCCGAGAAAGCAAAGCAAGCAGAAGACCCTTGGAATGTAGGATGGTGCTATCTGTAGATGTTATGTACATTTCTACAGAGATAGATACATAAAAATATAATCATCAATTCGTACAAATCGGTACAAACAAAAACAAAACCTTGCGGGCCTTGGAGCGGCCCCGGGTCCCCAGAGCCGCCAGAGAGCCCCGAAGCGGCACCGGAAGGCCCCTGGAAGGCTCCGAAACGGCCCGCTTCGAGGGGGAGGAGGAGGAGGAGGAGGAGGAGGAGGAGGAGGAGGAGGAGGAGGAGGAGGAGGAGGAGGAGGAGGGGCCGCTTTGGCCGTTTTGAAACCATCTTGGGCCGTCTTCGAGCGCTGCTGGGCCGGGGTCCTCTCGGGCCGCCCTGGGCCGTCTTGGAGAGGTCTTCAGCCGTCTTGGGAGCCTCTTGGGCTGTCTTGGGCGCTCTTGGGGCTGACTTGAGCCGTCTGGGGCCGAACATGGCCGAAAATTGGGGCGATCAGACCTGGGACCGGACCTGCAACACCCCTCGCACTCACCCTTGCTATCTATTTCTCTCGACTAACGGATCGCGACGCTTCGCGCGCTTTCCGTCACCTGGGCCTCTCCTTGCCAAACCCCTCACATCCCCCATTGTTATTTCCCCGGACTACCGGATCGACGATACGCGCGCTTTCCGTCGTGTGCCGTGCTCCTCCTCCTCCTCCTCCTCCTCCTCCTCCTCCTCCTCCTCCTCATCCCCTCCTCCTCCTCTCTCTTCTCCTATTCCTCCTCCTGCACGGTCGAGAATGAAAAGATGGGTCGGCGGATGTGGCGTACTTCAGCCAGTAGATCATCTCTCTCGTGCTCCATCCTTGTCCCTCCCAGTTATCCCTTCCCTCCTCCCTCCCTTCCCCTGTTTCAGGGGCTGCGCCAACTACACGTGGCAGGTAAGGAAGATATACCCCAAGGTGGGTACGATCGAAAACGACGAGGGCGGGTATAGATGGCTTGGGGTGTACATGTTTAGGAACACGCGATCACATGAATGAGGAAACACCGACTAAACTTAGTATTGCTCTGTTTGCTGTTGTGTTTGATTTTGTTTTTGGAGCGCCATGTTTTCAACTAGGTGCCACTCCCCAGGCTCGCACATGTTTCTTCAAGGGGAAATCTTGTTTGTTAGATTGCCCCCCTGGCCCAACAACAACGGCTTCCGCTTGATACTTCTTCACCACTTATTTCGACATCGCGCCCTCGCGTTGGACATTTACGCAATTTACTGAGCCGCCGCGCCCTCGAGACTCAGGAATCGCGCTCTCGCTCGGGTCTTCCCCAGAATCGCGCTATCGCTCGAAACCTCCTTGCGCTTCATGCTAAATTCACGCTCCAACGACCCGCACACTCGATCCAGCCGTCTGGACCTACCCGCCCGACCCGCCCGTTAGGGTCCGCCCGCCCGGCCCGCCCGTCAGGTTCTGCCGCTTGTGCTCCTGCTCCAAATCCACCTCCTGCAAATCTCCCTCGTGATCCATCCGTCTCCCTTCCCTTTCTCCCTTCCCTCCTCCCTCCCTGCCCTTGGTTTAGGGGCTTCGTCAACTACACGTGGCACGTAAGTGAGACATGACCCCAATGTGGGTACGGGCATCGAGGGTTCGGGATACACAGGTTGTCACGCGATCAGATAAGATCCTCGAGCGAGCTATCTTCGAACGACTGTTGTTGAACTTCCCATTTCTGAGCAATTATTGTTTATCCCCACTCTGATGCCCACTGCGTTTTGTAAAATTAATGTGTTCCTCCCTAGGCTCGCACCTTGTTATTACAGAAGAAAATCCTGCGCCTCAGAATGTGCCCCTGGCACCGACTTGCAACAACAACGGCTCCCGCTGGATACTTCCCCACAATTTATGCTTAAAAAACAGCGTTCTCGCGCGGGACTTCCTCATACATTGTCCAAGGACCGCGCTCTCACACGGTGCTTCCTCGCAATCTATTGCTGCGCTGTGCCCCCAATTCTCAGGAATCACGCTCTCGCTTTGGACTTCCTCACGACTCACGTGGGAACCCTTCTATCGCTCGAAACTTCTTGCGACTCATGTTGGATTGATGCTTCAGCGACCTGCCCGCTCGACCCGGCCATGTGGGCCCGCCCGCCCGGCCTGCCTGTCAGGGTCCGCCCGCCCGACCCGCCCGTCTGGTTTGGCCGCTCGTACTCCTGCTCTGAACCCCCTCCTGCATAGCTCTCTCGTGCTCCATCCTTCACCCTCCCCGTGGTCTGTGCTTCATCCTTCACCCTCCCCGTGGTCTCTTCCGTCCTTCCACCTTTGCCCCTGTTCTCAGTGCTGCGCGAGTTGCACGTGGCCGGCAAGGATGATATACCCCCAAGAGGGGTACGATCGAAGACGAAGAGGGCGGACATTTGGGGCATTTCTGTTGAATGTAAGACACGCGAGCCAATTAGAGCGAACAATCTTAATTCGCTTGTTGTTATCGTTGTTTGTTCTTGTCGTCGTCCCACCCGCGACCCGCCCCGCGACCCACCCGCGACCCGCCCCGCGACTCACCCGCAACCCACCCGCGATTCACCCTCGACACACCCGCGATCCACCCCGCGACTCATACAAACCCACCAGCGACCCAACCGCGCCCGCCCCCTCACCCTTACCCCCAACTGCGGGGTGCTACATACACACATGTGTGGTACCCCCCCCCACAAGGACCTACCTCATCCTATCTTGTCTTCTCCTCGTGTATATTGTTTTGTTCTCGCCCGACATGTTTTCGTTTCTGGGAAGTCACACGGATTATAGATTTCCTGTTTGCTTTGGTAGAATTTTAAAGATCGTCGACAGTCGCAAGTTTCCTTACCTATCGATTCCAATCCCTTGCTATCAATTCCTGTTGGTTTCGATGGATTCCGATTAATCTAGATTGATTCCTATTGATTCCTGTTGATTCATATTGGTTCCGCCTGGTTCCCATTGACTCCTATCGATTACTAATGTTTCCTATTGGTTCCTGTTGATTCGTGCTGATCCCTACGGATTCCTAGTCTTCTCATTGTGTAAAAGAGAACGGGGGGGTAGAGAGAGAGAGAGAGAAACAACACAAGAAAGAGAGAAAGAGAGAGTGAGAGAGAGAGCGGGAGACAGGGGAGAGAGCGGGAGACAGGGGTGGAGGAGGGGGCCATCTCCTTCGCACGATTTTTGTTGAGAGCCACGAGGGTTCTGGTTTTTCCGTTGGACTTTATTGGTTCTGCAATGCCGGTCAAGCGGTTTCCTCACTGTTGGGCCACGAAACCTGTCACTACTAAAAACAAAACCCCAAACACCTCTGGGACTACCAACAACCAACATCAAGGGATTTCGGGATCCGAGGCGGGAGGTGGGGAGAGGGCGGGCCGAGGAGAGAGTTGTCTTCCAATGGCAATCACACATGTTCTCGATGTTGGGCCACGAAACATGTGACCCTACAGAAAAAGAACCAACAACAACCTGTGAGACTAACAACACATCAGAACCCCAAAATTTTTCAGGATCCGAGGCGGGGGACCTAGCAAGAGTCCGGCCCTCCATTCCTGCACCCCGCGCCTCGGATCCCGAAAACTTGTGATCATTGGTTTATGTTGGTAGTCCCACCGTCTTTTGGTTGATGTTTGTTTTCTTTTGTTCTTTTAGTCATGTCACAAATTGCGTGGCCAAGCATGAAAAACATCTTCGGGTGTCATTGCAGCCCGAATTCAATCTAACGGAAAACAAATCATTTAAAAGCCCCTGTCAGACATCCGAAAAGCTTTGCGCGAAGGAGATGGCCCCCTACTCCGCCACCCATCTCTCGTTCTCTCTCTCTCTCTCTCTTTCTATCTCTTCTTTGACAAACAATAATCAGTTGGGCCTGTAGGATACAATGATAATCACCAAGACTTGGTAGGACTCAACGAGAATCAACAATAATCAACAAGAACCACTAAACATCGCAAGGAATCAATATTAACGGCTAAGGACCCGTAAAGATCAATAGGAATCAACAGGATTCCGTAATAATCAATAGGAATTCATGGGACTCGATAGGAGTCGATTGGAATCGATAGGAATCAATGCGGACCACTAGGAATTAATAGGCATCGTGCGAATCAAAACGAATTAACCTGAAACGCTAGGAACCACTCGGAACCAATAGAAATCGATGGTAACCAATCGGACTCACTCGGAATCGTTAGGAATCAACAGGGATTAATGGAAATCGATTGGAATCGATAGGGGTCAATAGGAATGAATATTAACCAATCAGAATCAATAGGAATTAATACGATTCAGCCAAAAAATAACAGGAATCAGCATACATCCGAATTCCGATGGATTCGCACTACTTCCTATGCATTCCTATTGCGAGCTATTGATTCCTACTGACTCCGATTGATTCCAATCGATTCCCATCAGCTTCTG